GGATCGTGTCTGGACCTCACGTGACCCTGCTTGTATATCGTTAGAAACTCTGCAGGACATGGTACGCAACCGACCCCTATGGCGAGCATGCTGACAACTCCTAGCGCAACTGACTAGCTTAAGTTCGCCTGTCATTGTGTGCTGAGCTCATGTCAAGTAAGGTCCACAAATGACACTGAATCAGTGTCAGTGATGACATTTTATTTGACAGGATGTCCAGAAGTGTTTGTTTTAATGCTGTCCAAAGATTTAGGTCCCTTTGTTTTAATTGTTCCGCTTGACCTGATAAGGCTTTTTGAATTAGGCCCCTACACCTCCATCTACTTTCCACTCCTTATCCCTGGTCTCATGTGTGGCTTTCAAGCCCTAGTTCAAATAAATGGCGTCCTAGTGCCAGTGATGGCGATGGTGTCTGAAAGCGCAGGAACTAAATGCGTGACCGGTAAAATTTTAAATCGATACGGCCAATTTCAAGCACTTCCAAAAACGGATTATCAAATGGACTCAACTCAAGCGTTCTGCCTGGGCGCTCAAAAGTTTCCCACGGGACATGCATTCTAAACAACAGAGACGATTGTGACATGTTTGCGTCAACCATCACTCTATTATCTAAAACGGCGCTGAAGCCAATTACGCTACCTCAGTCTACTGAATTCCCTCTCCAAATGAAACTCAGAGACCCATTTAGCTTCGAGTTTTGACCATGAAGTTCTCATGTATCAGTTCACCACCCGTCTAAAGTACATATGTGACTAGAGGAACTCAGTTGAATCCCTTCTTTATGATATTTTTCAAAGGGGGCCCCTCATCTTTCAGGTTTGCATGACGTGAAACATATCACCTAGGACACACTACTCATAAGTCTGCGGCCAACTTGAAGCTCCATAGCCGATTTTTCCGCTTGGAGCCCATCAAGTTTGAGGAATATTCAAGTTTCAAGATATCTGCAACTGAGTGTACTTCTCATATTGCTTGAGGTTTGATGCGCAAATTAAACATCAGATTTAATGAAGGGAAAGCGTTCGACTGTGCCCACTTGATGAGTCCAGAGAACGGCGAAATCGGCCGTTTGTTATTTCTAGTTCATTCGGAAGAAACCGCATTGTAGTTCGATCACGTTCGAAATTTTTTTCTGGTTGTCTACAACAAATCACTAGTTCTGATGTTGTGTGGTAAGATCAGAAGGTACGGAGTTCGAGCCCGACCTCTGCCTCTCGACTTCCCCTGTCTAGGCTTGGGCGACCTGGCAGTATCCCTTCCTTCCTTCTGGTGGCATGGCAGTTGGGCTTCGAAAGGGTGCTACAGCTGAACGATTTTTTCTCCAACGGTCAATTACTCCTATCATTATGTACGTGCTCATGTCCACCGTAATAAACAAGTTATTGTCAGAAAATGGATCGGCTTTAAAAAAAGGGCGGGCCCAATACCAGTATCGTAGCTATTTACTGAATATATTCAAGTCCATGCCCTCTCCAATATGTCAATACTAGACTATACTGAAAAGAAGTAAACGACGCTTTTAAGTGCCTAAACTTCCTGTGAACATTTACAGCAAGAGTAGGACATTTCTTGATGCTTGCTGTATTTATACAAAGTTGCATAAAATAGAAACGTAGATCGTCATAGAATAGATGTATAGTCAGATAACTGAAAAAGGTAGACTTGGCAAAAAATCAATTGTTGTCTCTATTCTGTTTGAAACTCTTGGACCATGATTGGTTCCGGCCTTGTTTTGGCCAATCAAGGAAAGGCCGACCTTGAATTTCCGTCAGCATCATAGACACCAGATTTCTCAAAAGTGAAAAAGTACACTAATTCGCGAACCATACTGAAGATAACGGGAGACAACTAAATTCCAGTTTATCGCCACGCCTTCCTGATAAGCCAGAACAGGAGTGAAACTGGTAGTGAGCAATCGAACTATTTTCAGCAAACACGTGATCAGTGTTTCCCTTCAAACAAATATACTTGGATGACTCAGAGATTGCACAAACAGCTGTGGGGGAATTTTTGTTGTAAAGCCAGCAAATGCTGAGCTGTCGAGTATCTGCATGAGCGAGAAACTCAGTCGTGTATCCCATTAAAACCAACGATATTTATTTCGATTTACAACATCAGAATTAGCGTTAATCTACAATTTTAAGGTCTGACTAGACATCAAACAGGGCTCCAAGTGTCGACCTCTTTCCCCGGCACAGGCTAATAGATCCTTCTGTAGAACGCATCCATCTTCTATGGAAAGCTCTTGATTTCATTCTCTCACAATGTGTACATTAGGAGGGGATACAAATATCAGTATAATCTAATAGAATGCAACCACCCACTTGAGCTTTGAATCTACAGGTATTTAATTGACAGTCGCTTAATCTGGCCCCCAATGAACGCCACGAATATGTACCTACTTGGATGTGACCATCAACTCAGCTTATCACAGGATATTACGAATACTAATTACAATGAACTCTTTGCTTGTTACAGGTATAACTAATGTATGGGCATACACAGAGTAGCATTCTAGAATTAGAGGCCTAACTGTATGACGCATGGGTTTGGGAGTTACCATTTTCGCCGACTCCCCCGAAGCAACTATGGTAGAGAAAAAAGCCGACAAAGGGTAGCCCTTTTTAAAAAGACACTTCAGTCGACGGAAATCCTTCCCATGTGAAATCTCACCTTGAGGAACGAAAAAACCTCGGCTTCATCCATGCTAGGCTTTCATATCCCTAACTATAATTTATTAAGAGTTTGGTTCACGAAGTCAGGAAATTCATCCATTCGATCGTCAAGCTACACAGATTAGATCACAAATGCTGTCGTGGCGCGTTATGGTTCAGCTTCGATTTGCTTAGATTCATTCATCTGCCAAGTGCATAGTGGAGCGTTGTAACCCCAACGAATTCGTAACCAGTAATGGTGACAAACCTGTTGCATAAGCAGTCCCATGCCTTTCAACCACTGGTCCAATTATGACTCAGTGCGGCTGGTCTTGTAATACTCGAATTCGATTAGCCTCATCACTGCTCCAGATTCAAGGATGAACAGAAAGGCCGATCAGTTTCATTGCAGCTCCACTTTGCACACATTCTGGCGAATTCGTGCAGGAGGGACAAACTTTGGGTGTTCGTCGAGTAGCGTAGTGAACAGTTTGAGATAACAAAGTCGTTTTAATTCAACCGAATCGATAGAACTGGTTATGTTAGAAGGAAGACAGGTTTTTTAAAGCTTCAGCGAGTTTAACAGCCTGACTTAACTGTCTAAGGAAGTTGACTGTTCAAGGAACTGATTAATTGTGATGAATTTTTGACAATAAACTTTTAGCTTTCAGGATTTCAGCTCCAGTTTATAAAGTGTGCGTGTTTGTTTATAGGCATGGTAGGGATTCGATTAGGGCCATCTATCAGGCAATGTTGACCAGTAGCCAACACCATGGTTTCGCCTGCTACCAGCTGTTGTTCCCTTTGGTGAAAGGCCATTGTAATCCCCAAGACGCTTCCGCCTAATTTCTTAGAATCGGTCACCGTAGGATTCGAGCTGGGACGAGAAAGGATGATCTCTTTCAAAGTTGTAGGGCTCTACGTTTGGGGTATCAACAGCTTAAGCGACAACCTCTGTCGGTGGTTGTGCCTACCAGCACGAAGCGCGGATTGGGTGCCCCAAACCTGGACAATTCCAGATGAACAATGTTCACATTCTCAATACATGTAACAACACAGCCACCAAGCAGTTTGAATCCGACGCCTAGGTTATCTTCAAACTTACTAAGCCTGCATGGCAGAAATAACATTCACATTAATCAATGAAATGTAGTCTAGCCCAAATGATCAGAGACTGATTTCAGATATGAGTGATGGTCAAACTGAGTACACTGCCAGGGTGGACACGTTGCCGTGCGAAAGCGTGCACGCATGTCCTCTGTCTGTCTGTCCGTCTGTCTGTCTGTCTGTCTGTCTGTCTGTCTGTCTGTCTGTCTGTCTGTCTGTCTGTCTGTCTGTCTGTCTGTCTGTCTGTCTGTCTGTCTGTCTGTCTGTCTGTCTGTCTGTCTGTCTGTCTGTCTGTCTGTCTGTCTGTCTGTCTGTCTGTCTGTCTGTCTGTCTGTCTGTCTGTCTGTCTGTCTGTCTGTCTGTCTGTCTGTCTGTCTGTCTGTCTGTCTGTCTGTCTGTCTGTCTGTCTGTCTGTCTGTCTGTCTGTCTGTCTGTCTGTCTGTCTGTCTGTCTGTCTGTCTGTCTGTCTGTCTGTCTGTCTGTCTGTCTGTCTGTCTGTCTGTCTGTCTGTCTGTCTGTCTGTCTGTCTGTCTGTCTGTCTGTCTGTCTGTCTGTCTGTCTGTCTGTCTGTCTGTCTGTCTGTCTGTCTGTCTGTCTGTCTGTCTGTCTGTCTGTCTGTCTGTCTGTCTGTCTGTCTGTCTGTCTGTCTGTCTGTCTGTCTGTCTGTCTGTCTGTCTGTCTGTCTGTCTGTCTGTCTGTCTGTCTGTCTGTCTGTCTGTCTGTCTGTCTGTCTGTCTGTCTGTCTGTCTGTCTGTCTGTCTGTCTGTCTGTCTGTCTGTCTGTCTGTCTGTCTGTCTGTCTGTCTGTCTGTCTGTCTGTCTGTCTGTCTGTCTGTCTGTCTGTCTGTCTGTCTGTCTGTCTGTCTGTCTGTCTGGCTGTCTGTCTGTCTGTCTGTCTCTCTGTATGGTGCGAATGCGGATTTTGTTAATCAACTATGATCAAAACTGGAAATGGAAACGAATTCGCACTGAGAAATTTATCGAACTCCTCTCTGGTCTCCATCTGATGTAATTTTCACCATGCCACAGCTACCAATACTGCGAAGTTTAATCTCCTACTCTAATTTGTGACCTGAAACCACATGCATGCTTATATGTGTCCAAAGCGATCATATATGGTCAACTAAAACCATGTATCCTTGACTTGTGTCTAGTGGTCCCTGAACTTCTAATAAATTTCGGGTCTCCTGAAGTAAGCTGACTTCCCAAAATACGAAAGAACGCATCCATCAGTCTACAGGTTTTATTTGTTCAAATGAATGATTGGCTAATTTAGATTGGTAGCTTATACAATCCAAAATTTGAGTGTGTAGTCGTAACATTGATACTGAATAGGACATTTTACTACAAGTGATTCCAAGTCATTTCTAAATTCGCGTAGACACTGGTATTAAATGACGAATGCAGCGCGCGATGCGTTGTCTCGAACGAAACTTTTTCGGCTAACCAGCGCTCAAGTATCTCGTAAGCCTCTGGTTCAACATTGGGCAGGAATTTATTGGCAAAAAAGTGAGGACTCTTGGATAGACCGGGTAGGTCATCCACACCAAGAATACAGACCGTTCTAACCCAGTGTCCACTACCGCAAGCAATCCCACTGTCTTGCCACACTTTGTATCGCGTCACTCCCTCCGTCACATTGTATTCGTGTAATCCCAGGAACGCTCCTGGGACAGGGAAAAAGTGTGGGTTGTGATTAAGTGTAGCAAAATATGTCTCCTCTGCATGAATACCACTTCCCTTTTCAGACTCGTATTTTTTCAAGGATTCCAGCAGTGCAATCGCTCTTGAGTCACTCAGCATGAAGTTGACGAACTCCCTTCTGACTGCTAGGTGTACTGGTCCCTTGTACCAAGTAATCTGTAAAAAAACGAGAAGTTGGAATCAAACGAGGGCCTGCTGTGACACTGACAAGTGGTTCATTTAGAGAGAACATGATGTGAGTTACTGAAACACGACTGGCATTTTAGATTTCCACAAACAGCCATACATGCATAGACCAAACTCAGCACTCGCATGCCTGAATACGGCAAGAAGTCTTCAAAATCCATGCCAGTAATCCTGGAAAGTTCAACCGCTGTAGTAGTATCTTTGTTATTAGTGAAGTGAGGGGAATTGGCTTCGTGCGACTTTAGCGCGTACATGCCTGCAACCGTCTAAAGCGTCGCGCGGTTCAGCGTCGATTAATACCCCATATTTCGTAGTTATTGAGCCGCTGCTGACCAGCGTTCTGTATGTGCACAATTCCCGAGCTGATAAGAACGAAACTAGCTAATGGTGACGTGGATTTAGTGCCTTGGTTAACAGACTTTTCTGAAGTTCATATGGGAAGAGACAGCTCCGGTCTAAAAGTTAACGGTCATTTTAACAAATTGGCATTATTTTTCGGGAAGAGTACGTTTTGACCATTTTTAAAGGGGAATTAGAATGCTAGGTTTATTGATCGATGGTCCACTTATTAATTTTGAGGAGATAACCTGGTTTTTACTATTACTCTAGAGAGTCTATAGCAAGCATATCCCCGCAGACTTCCATAGAATTTCCAATCCTTGGAGGGGCCAACCAAGATTTCCAAATGGAATCCTTCAGAGGGAATCGTCCCTCAAAAAGGATACAATACATCTCATGCTTCAAAATAAGCTAGCTTAAACTATCACAGGTTGTAAAGAGTAGTTTTTGAATTCAATCTTGTTGCACCGGCAGCCTCCGAAAAACAAAATCCAGTCGACGCGGGAAACGGGAAGTTATCCAGCTAACAGCGGTCACTTCCAACCCAGCACTAAGTTGGTACCACTGGATGATTGACACACAATTCTACTTTTTCAATTTGTTGTTGAACGTTTTTGGGGTGAAAGTTAGAACAATTGTTAGCCGAAATGTTTTATCGAAGCTTGGCGATGTTCTCCCTGAGTTTCACTCAGAAATACGGAAGAAGGCTTGTGTTTACCACAGAGACTTGCTAGTCAAGTGTCTAGAACACCAACAAACGCGAAATTAGGACCGACAATGTCCCTCGCCACTGCATGCACAATAAAAACTGCGTACGTTGTGCGTCAATGATTGAATCACAATTACTTACTTACTAATGAATTAATATGATTTTTATTGCCCAGAAGTGTCGGGGTGTGTACTAAAACCAGCACTAATAGGAGAACCAGCTCCAAACGTATCTGGACTCGTGACTGCACATGACACGCCTGTACGCGTCAGTGTTCGATAGTTCAGCTGATTCGCACGCTCATTGGCTTTCTGGTTTGACTAAACGCATTAAGCTATCAAGCGGCTATCCAGACTTGGGTTCATGGTAGTAAGAATGCATTAAGAAAACTGTGGTCCACAACACTCAACGACCTTGGACCTGGCAAACCGAGTAACACCTCCTTAGCTTCGGTGAACGAGATGAAAACAGGAGACAGTAGCAAACGCTGTGGAGGATCAGGGAATCGGCGATTCTGCCGAATCCCGCCGATCAAGATGGTGGCGTATTGGGGGGGCGGTTCTTATCCCAAACAACGCAACCTTTGTACGCTGAGCAGCGAAAAGCTAATTCCTGGTGCTTGCAGATACACGTCATTGTGTCTCTTAGGTAGTCTGACAGTGCATGAATCGAGTCAGTGGTCAATGGGGCTCAGCTGGTAGACCACCCTTCCTCGAAGCAAGAAGTTGAGGGTTCATCTCTGGTCCAAGGGTGTTGGCGTTTTCGTGTGCATCGTGTATATCTAGTACCCCCTCAAATTATTTCGAACAAAATTAGCCAAATGAAGTCTATGCGACTAACAACGAGCTGTTAAGGAAACAACTATTAAGATTGCTGAAACTCTTCGAGAGCCCACAAGCTGTTTTGCCCTAGTTGGGGCCAAGTATGTAGACGCGGTCCTCGAGTTGCCTCCCAGTCAACTTTATGTTCTTATTGAATCAACATTTTTCGAAATTTGCAAAATACATTCAGTTGTCTACCGGTGACAGGAAGGCCTTCGCCACGGAGTTAATTACGAGAAAACGCAAAGTGAATAGTTACAGACAGGGAAGCGAAACTCTCATATGCATCTTCTTTACTAAAACTGAATATGCATCTTCTCCTTGGAAGCGTCTTTCTGAATTTTCCTGGGTATTGATTGACTGTTGCTCAAATCCTAGCAAATGCTACAAAGCGACTCCACAAATTCCGTAATAGATCTCACTTTTCAAGAGACGCAAAGAGGATTCCCGAGGAGACATACTACTAGCATGCCCCTCCATCAGTAGTGTCACCGTTACACCGGTAGTTGCTATCCGGGATGATGAATTAACAACAAAGAATGCCCTTAGATGTGTTAAAGAGTATAAAACAATAAATGTATGGTTGAGCGCTCTAAGTGATGTATAAAAATTCTACTGAAGCATTCTTTTCACTCACTTTATGCGGGAACAGATTTTTTGGCGGAAATCGCCAAAGATTCCTGCCCTTGTAAGTTGCTGCCACCAAATTCGTGTTGTTCATCAGCTTTAATGCTCTGACGAGTTCCCAATTGGTTCGCAAGGGGAACTCCTGTCCCGTCAGATTTATCCAGTATTTCCATTCCTCAGTCCGATTGAGTAGCAGTCGCGCACATATGAGTTCGGCTTCGAGGACGGACACACTACCCCAGTGTACAGCGATTCGTTGCTCGTTCGGGACAAAAAATAGGTTGGAATCAAAACAAGTCGCGTAGTTTAACAATGCCTGTGTAACGTCTTCAGGAGATTTCTTATCTACGTGCACACAGTAGACATTTTGCGGCCGGTAAATGGCAGCCAACAAACGTACGGCTCGTTCAGGCTGGGTGTACACAAGAAGACTGAAGCCAATCGGAAAGCCATGCTCTTCCGGTGAGACAGTGAAGTTGTAGTTCACGCTAAAAACACCAAAACGCCTCAAGCAATCGTGTGATGTGGAGTGAGTAGCTATTCGGCGTGGCACAAACCGTTCTTTGAAAGAACCGTAGTAATAGCTCCAGCCAAGTAGAAAAACCAAACAGGCTATAGTGGCCGACAAAACGCGTGTTCTCCATCGAAGCATGCCACACGAACGAATGGCGAGCGCCATTCCAAAGTGTGAACTTCTGCTACACGCACATGCTATTGGTTCATGAGCCGGTGGAACACCCGCATGCTACGAATGCACTACTCAATAAAATTAGGAGTGGACAGGAAAGCATCGTGAATTATTACAGATGGCCACGGATTAATAACTGTTCTTTAACAAAGCTGATGTGTTCTTGGGAGCAAATACATGGTGACTCTGATTCACGCATGTTGTTTGACTCAATTTCAAACCTAGGGAGGGGATCGCACTAAAGTCAAGGTCAAAGCGAACCCAATTCACGTTGAGGAATTCTACAGAAGACGGAGGCTATTCGTGGAGTGAATCACTGTTGAGACAAAATCCATCAATTTTTCCAAGGTGGGACGATTGACACAGAACACTGACAAAAACCGTCCAGCATATTCATCATCTCTCTGAGGCTAAGGCGTGCAACAGTCCTCCCTTTTTTCCACGATGACTCTGTGGAACTTCACTGATGAAAATCGATGAGGTTTAATGTCGATTCCAGAAACAGTTCTGATCCGAGTAGCCAAACGATTCATAGTTTAGCACTCTAACTTGTTACTGAGATACATCCTGCCCACCTGAGTTGACGCCTACTGGGAATTCATGCGCAAGTGGCTCCATTCCATTTGACTAGCGCTGTAAATCAGCCGAACTACCATCTTCAACTGGAAATCTGGAGAGAAGGGGATACTGCTTGAGACACATACACGTAGCTGGCACAGAATTAGCTTACTGTATCTATTTCCCATGAGGTAGATTCTCGAAAGTGGCAGTTTTTGCCGCAACGGCAAGAATAACCGCGTATGATGGCTGCTACCTTTGAATCCAAGATGAAATTAAAGCCAATATAAATTCTGTTTGAAATTTTGTGGAGATGCTGGTCGCTCACAAATTCCATTGTACGTAAAAAAAAGTAATCTTTGGAAACCCTTGCTTTAAGGCGGTTCTAACAAAAGGTGTGGCCAGCAAAAATGCTTTTAGGAGATGTACCAGAATAAACGTAGTTTGTGCGTGTTCACTGATGATTGATCACTTCACCCAGCCTGAAAAACTCTTGGTCACTATTCGAGGGGAAACCGCCATTGTGTGGTTGGAGAGCTCGTGTAGGTTACAAATCGGCGTTTGATTAACGATATTGAGCTGAATGCGACATGGGCCACTTTGTGGTCCTTATGAGACACCATGCCTTTCAGTGAACAAAGCGAGCGATACATTTGGAGGAGGCCCTGTTTTATCAGCTGATTCGCCGATCTACTGTATCTGCTGCTGATCCGCTCCAGTGCTTAATGCCGGAACAAGGACTCACAGAAGGGAACACAATAACCATATTCCGAACAAGCGAGTGCGAGAGGGTGAGTGCATGCGAGTGCGAAAGTACAACGTTGCCAAGGCATTTATTGGAGGAACACTGTCTGAACTTGGCCCCATGCTGATGCACGCGGTCTGGCCTTGGTACGAGGCTGCAACGCGCTGAATATTGCGGGGGCGTTGTCTGACCTTGATCAACGCCGACTCGCGCTGTCTGGGTTTGATACAAGGCTGTGAGGCGCTGCATACTGAGGGAGCATTGTCTGTCTGATCAACATCTAGCCGAGCTAAGAGTCTCGATAGATTTCAGGCACTCAGTGGTTGCTTCCAGGACTCTGGCCTTCCTGATAGGCCAAAACTTCCCAATGCAGACGTGACCTGGCAAACTTCCTCAAAGCGCGGAAACTGATACCTTGTTGTTCACCAGTACGCTTTCTTGCCGACCTATAGACAATGTAAACTTGTTCTTATTCGACATTTTTCTTCTAGCGGTGACAACATCAGTAACCGTTACCACCATGCGATCGACTACCACGTTGAGAAGAGTTCCTTGATGTGATGCTGAGGGAAGTGTAATATTATACTAGACTTTAAACGACAAATACAATCATTTGCTAGTCAGTTGGGTTCCAACGGGAGACTCAAGTGAAACTCTCGTTTATGATGTTCTTCCGCTGAATGTGCCGCACACAGGCTGCGTTATTTTTCAGTTGGTACAATGTTCGAGAGATCAATTCGTTCGAGCTATGCTCGATTGGCATCCGGGCTCAGAAGTGAGTGAGCATCCAGCTGAGTGTGCTGACAGACTAAGCGTTCCAGCGGATTTGTGAGTGCGTGTGGGTCCATCCACACAAATACGCCTTTCGAATGATGAGCCCCAAGAAGGGCGAAACCGGTCATGGGCTCTCCAAGAGTTTTCAGCAACCTTGTGAGTAGTTTGCTTTCAATATCGCTTGAAGACGTAAGCAAGTTGATTTTCATCACCTTCACTAAAGTCTTAAGTGGCAGTCAGGTGACAAGCGAACTCCAGAATTCCAGTTGCGATCCTCGGGTGGCTTCATTATGCTTTCGCACCTCAGGAAAGGATTGTGAATCCACACATCTTGCTGAACGCGTAGCCTACTTTACACATTCTAGAACTATTGGTAACTGAATTGAAAGTGTCTCGTTGCGTTCGGAGGTGAGTGCAAATAGATAACTCACTCACCGTGGACAAATCATAGAATATAGTGTTGAATAGATTAAAGGAACCGATCAGCTTTCGCGGTCAGCTAACGTCAAGATTGGTTTGAAACTTACGAAACGGGTGCTTATTGCAGAAAAAGTGGTGAGGACCACCAGCTGATGTTAAAGATTATCATGAGTATACAAAACCAAGTTGTCATAAAAGCCTCCTGATCCAAGTCCTTCGATTCGTTACCACTCTCCCAGGACCTATTGGTGCAAAGATAAAACCCGAACAACGCCTGAAGATGGACTTAAGGATCAAAACATCCGGGTAGATTTTACCACACACACACAGGTTTCTGACAAAACAGTAAGTGGCCGACAGCGTTCCTCAGTTTGATGGGATTTTACTTACAGAGACGGCTTCAGTTCTCTCAGCAGACAACGATAAGAAAAATGTGGTTTTGGAATCAACCACTTGAGGTTTCGCGACTGCCCAGTCCGTCTTCCGAAGGCCTCTTCTGGCCGCACCCAGGTGCGCCTTCGCCCGGCCTCTCAAGAGGGTCTTCAGCGCTGCCAACTTACCCCGGTCGGTATCCGGACCAGCAGCCTCCACAACCTCCTCAAAGTCCTCCAGGAGGGTCCGAACATCCCCATTCTCTAAGGGTTGTGGCCACGGGATCTTTATCCTTATCCTGGTCACGGCACCAAATGGGGGGAAGAAGTTCTTCACTGCGGAGTTGTTCATTGGAATACACCAACTGAACAGTTACAGAATCTTGGACAGGGAAGCAAAACTCTCATATGCATCTTGTTTACAAAAACTGAATATACATCTTCTTCTTGAACTCGTGTTCGCAAACTTTCCTAGGTATTCATTGACTGTTACTCAAATCCAAGCAAATCCTACAAAGCAGCTCCACAAATTTCGTAACAGATCTCACTTATCAAGAGACGCGAAGTGGGTTTACAAGAAAACACGCTACTCGTATGCCCCATCAGTAGAATCCAACAATACATGAGGAACTCATTTTCTGCATTTTGGCGTCGCGATCGGAAGAATTCCTCACGCCTACCGAACTGTAAAAATTAAATGTTAAATTCAGCTGCGCGAGACGTAGAGGAGTATCTGGAGTGGTTTGACGAAATCCGATATGGATGATAAGAAACTCACGGCATATATTCTACATTTCGTTGGCAAGGAAGCGTATACGTTGATCAAGAATTTAGTATATCCTGAATCTCCAATCGATATTTCCTACAATGCATTAAAGAAAAAATTTCCGCAAAACTTTAAGCCGATTAACGTCGTAGCAGCCGAAAGAGCTAGGTTCAATATGTTGACCCGCACCCATTCTCAGTCGGTTCGTGATTTCGTATTGCAGCTGCAGACACAGGCAGCCAAATGTGACTACGGTGTCCAATCGGAAGACCAGCTGCGTGATAGATTCATTGCTGGCATTCAGCTGCCCGAATTACAGCAGAAGCTGCTACTCTGTCCGGGTCAGAAATTTCAAACTATTCGGAAAATATGTGACCAGTATGAAGATGTGAAGCATGTCACGAAGACTGAGGAAGCATTCTTGTTAAATGATTCTAAAAGAAATAATTCAAGGATGCAGGCGTACAACAAATTCGAACAAATTCTCGTGCCCCAAATCCATCAATACCTCACTTCACAGATCGTAACTCTAATTCGATGGTTTAAAAATTTGAAAAATGTGAATTTTATGGACGAAATCATTTCAGATAACCATTCCATCACAGACGAGCGAAGTGTTTAAACAGGACACATTCAACTTGTCTGTAAGTTCAAGAAAGTGTGCCACTTAACTTCTGATCCAACCACTGACGTGAAATCGTTATTCGAAGACGTATCTATCCTTTCTCTATGTATCCTGTTCCCAAATTCGTCACATGTTTTTAAAACTTTGATATCCGCTTCTGGTCAGAAGTATGGCTTGATTGTTGACACTGGTAGCGTTGAGTCCATTATTCCACAATCAGATCTAACTGCATTCTACCCCTGTGTCGTGGTAGTGCCTACAGATGTTAACATTCGCGTTAACACTGGAGGTTCCGTACCTCCAGTTGGTAGTTGCACGATTCCTGTGAGAGCTCCCCAAGGAACCTCTATCGATTGCAATTTTTTGGTTTCGGCCTCAGGACCATCGATTATCCGATTCAAAGTTCTGCGCTCAGTGCGAACTTGTATCACTTCACCGACTTCTGTGAATGAGAATCAACTCAAACAACCGATTTTTGCATGTCCTTAGGCCACATGCGACACGCGAATGCCCAAGGTGAACCTCGAAGCTGCAGGCAATCCTATATTTCTCAAGAGACAAGTTATTCCATTTGGTCTACTTGAATCTGTTCGCAAAGCGCTGAGTTCAATGTGAGAAAGGAATACTCACTACTGTTTAACTAGAGAATCGGGAAATCCGATAGTTACCCCACCAAAAACCGATGGTATTACTCTGAGGATTTGTGGCAGCTACCGACGAACGCTAAATACG